ATGCACAAGGCAGCTGATGTGTGTGAGTGTTTGTACAAGCGGCAGGGGAACTGAGCAGGGTGTACGTGTGACACAGCAGAGGCTTCACACTGGCTGGTGTTAAAGAGAAACTGAATGTCTTACCGGACAGTTCCAGTTCTGCCTAGTTTAAACGTGTGACCTCTAAACGCTAGATGTGTCTTGTGAGAAAAGATTGTGAGTAGCGTTAGTCTCGGCTGTGCGATTACCAAGTGACTTTAACAGCAGAAAGCTCCTAGTGCTCTGTAACCAAAACTTGCTTTTTTTCTCCCCTGCCCATCTCTCTTTTCTTTTCTTTCTGTTTCACTGTCTGTTACTTTGCACTCATTTTTTCCCCGTCTGTTCTTGTAGTAGCAATTACAGGAGTGGCTTGCAAATGTGGTTTGATTTGCATGAGTTCCTGGTAAAAGTAGAGCAGGAGGAAGTAGGGCCTTCATAGGAGCGCCGTTTCGCACAGCTGCATCCCTGACTGCATGGCTTCTTCTAGCGCTTTTATATACTTTGCTTACGCTTGGTATTTGCATGCCTTTTGGAGATCAGTGTTAAACATTTTGTGTCTAAAAACCACATTGTGAGGTGGTGAGAAATGCATGTGACCAAGTCGTATTTGTAGTGTAAACATGATTGTGTTCTGATGCATCCCTAATAAATAGGGGTGCTCCGATTGATCGGCTACCTATCACTATCGGCCGATAATCACGTTGGGAGAGGTCTCGAAAAAGGCAGATCTCAAAAAACTGATCTCAAGCTGATGATGCTGCCGTGAGAGGTTTGGCACGGCATGCAGCGTCACCGTATCAGTCTCTGTCCGGCGCGGGTACAATAATTATAATGCTGAAGGTGAGGTACTCTCCTTCATATTTCTTCATTAAATAACTTAAAAAGTAATTTGAAAACCTTGTGTGAGACGTAATTTCACAAACAGCGTGAGTGAATCACCGCGCGCACGCTCTCTCTTTCTCTCTCAAAATACGCAAATGGCTTCAAATCACCACACGCATCTGTCTATAAGCGAGCTGCACAGTTGACACAGGTATTGTCACTTGCACAGTCGAGGCAGTGTCACATCGTCACTAAAGTTTTTAAATTCTTACCAGTGTTTAACCATTCAGCGCTCACGCACTCTCCTGGAGACCATGCGCTCATGCACACTCGCAGCGCACACACAACGTCAGGTTCACATTACTCCGTTTGCAGTGCATACGTGGTGCGTATTTCTTCAGCGCTCATGTTAACGGATTAATAAAGCATTCACCCTGCACGCGGTTGCGGTCCGTCAGTGCGTTCCAGGAGCGGTGCATCTGCAGCAGTGCAGTGATCGTTTTATATTATTAAAGTCTACTGTGTTTCACAGTCAACACATGTTTTTTTTTGGCTAGGTTTAAAGGGAAAGAGCACTTTTAGATAAACAAGACAAAAAATAGATGGCACTCATGGAGGTAGGAAAACAAAGTTCTTTATGAACTGCAGGATTGCTTGTAATAAAGCGCAGTGCAAAAGAAAAGGCAGTAGAGCGGACTATTTCTGTCAATGGTAAGTTTGTGATAATGTAAGAAAAGTAGTTTAAATGTTTTGCCACTTGCTTGAGGGTGCGTATTTCTTCAGCGCTCATGTTAATGGATTAATAAAGCATTCACCCTGCACGCGGTTGCGGTCCGTCAGTGCGTTCCAGGAGCGGTGCATCTGCAGCAGTGCAGTGATCGTTTTATATTATTAAAGTCTACTGTGTTTCACAGTCAACACATGTTTTTTTTTGGCTAGGTTTAAAGGGAAAGAGCACTTTTAGATAAACAAGACAAAAAATAGATGGCACTCATGGAGGTAGGAAAACAAAGTTCTTTATGAACTGCAGGATTGCTTGTAATAAAGCGCAGTGCAAAAGAAAAGGCAGTAGAGCGGACTATTTCTGTCAATGGTAAGTTTGTGATAATGTAAGAAAAGTAGTTTAAATGTTTTGCCACTTGCTTGAGCAACTTAATATTTAAATCTAAGTAAAAGCAAAAGTAAAAAACATTGAATAATGTGTTACTTATCAGGGCTCGCAAAATTTCAAAATCCCTGGTAGCTGTTCGGGCAGGTACTCTTCAGATTTTGGTAGCCCGAAAATTAATTTAACTAGCCCAAATAAAAAAAGACATTTGTAATATTACAAATGATTTCTATTTTAAAATAAATGCTGTTAATAAATCATGAAAACAAATAATGGATTTCACAAAAATTGAGCAGCACAACAGATTTTTACCATTTATAATATTAAGAAATGTTTCTTGAGCATCAAATCAGAATGATTTCTGAAGGGTCATGGGACAATACTGTAACTTCACAAAATTATTATGCATGTTACAATGTAAAGAAGAGGACTGCACTGCAAAACAGTTTTTCCAAAAACATTTTTTACAGTTTGACATACTGAGTTCTATAAGTGGTTACTACATACAGTAGCAATGCTTTTTTTTCTAGCAATACTTTTCCTGCTATTATTTATTATTCGTTAATTTATATCAAATCATTTAATATATAAATATCAAACATTTAATAAAGAAGCAGGTCAAACTGAGAGCGGTTTCTTATTAATCTTGTTTTTCAAATCAGTTGAAAGACTCCCAAACTTTGTCTACGACACAGACTTCACAGGAGACACATGTTAATACTAGATATAAACGCTATGGTCAGATCAACCAAGACTGATCTGATAATTAATATCAGGTGTAAACGGGGTCATTGTCTCATTTGCACCTCAGCGTCACAGTAGCATCTCTTTCCACCAGTCCTATTCCTTTGTGTGGTTGTGCTTTCTTGTCCAGCTCAATTGTCCTGTCTGAATCATTGGTGTACCTTCAGGCTCCTGGGGGATGTTTTAAAAAAGCACTTGTGGTGTTCTAGTCCTGAGTGAGCTTTTTAGATATTTAAGATAATCACATTCCTAGTCTTGCTGCTTTTTCTCTTTTGAAGAGGCCACTTTCTTCTCTTTTTGTTGCCGTCTATTTAGCCTCATCTGTTGGATCTAGCATTCAAGACTGCCTCTTTCCCTACTGAGAATTGCAACTTGTTGACAGTCCAAGTCTTCTGATGCTCCTTTTTTTTTAAATTTTTTATCATGTCTGTCTTGACATGTCCAAGTCTCGTATCGTGAAGACTCGCATTGTGTCCTGTTTTTTTTTTTCTTAATGTGGTTATTCAGTCTGTTACAGCACAGGGAGCCAAGATGACTTGGTTACTTTGATGGGTGTCCTTTTAGAATGGATGGGGGTGGTGTGTTGAGTAGAGAAGCGTGGGACTGTGAAGCAGTTGAGGCTGTTTGAAGCTTTGCCTTACTTTAATCCTTGCGACTGCTTTTGAGTTTTCAGAAACTCAGGAACAAGCCCTCACTGTATTGTCCCTTTTGAGCCTTTTTTCATGTCAGCCTTTCTCTTTTGCTCTACCATTCTGTTTTTCTCCAGTGTGCACTGCTTTTGATTAGAGAGAGACTGCATTTAAGAGGCAAATGTGGCATTTGCATGACCCAAGACATTGTACTTTGTGCTGCATCATGACATAGGTGTCTTGATGTCCTAGACTTGTTGTTATCACCTGCCTGCTTCAAATTTCTCAATGGGACGAGTCATTGGCTTACACAGCAGCAAGGATGGATCATCAGTCAGAGCTGAGCAGTAGTACTCTTAAGATGTTCATGGAGATTTAAAAGGATGTCTAAATGACTGTTCATTCAATGTTTTCATTGTGGTCTAACTGTATCTTCTTTCTCCCTCTCTCCAGCATTTCTGTGTTGATTCGGATCACACATATATGGCGTTTGTGACCATCTGCGGAGAGTTCTGCCAGGCTCAGCACCTCACCTTTGTGGACAAGTGAATTGTTAGCCACCCGTGGGACTACGCTACCCAGAAGCCTCCCTGACAGCCAGCACACTGGGCCCAGTCTGTCTCTTCTATACCCTTTTGGGATCCCGTGTAGTCCTCAAACACATCCACCTCACTTCCTCCCTACAGCTTTTTCTCCCTGTAGCCAATCAGAAACTCTTCTCCTGAATGGGGTAATCTCAATTGTCTCAATTGGATGACTGAGGGATAGTCTCCTTTTTTTCTTTAGTTTTCCTTTCAAGTTTCTCATCCCTTTTTTATGCATCCTTTAAACATCATGGACTAGATCACCCTCCTTTTGACTTTTGTTTGTACTTCTAGTAGTCTAGTGTCCACCCGCCATTGCACCCACTATATATTTTTTTGTCTGTATTTTCTAGTAGTCGAGTGCCCACCCGCCATTGCACCCACTATATATTTTTTTGTCTGTATTTATTTTTTCATACTGCTGAAAACTGAGCCAAAGATTTTTTTAAAGAAACAAAGGAACAGGAATTATAAGTACTTCATTGTAATTGTTTTAAAGACGTCTTGCCAACATGAACCGCCCTGCCGCTGTTGAGATTTCCTATGACTGCATGAGATTCCTCATCACACACAACCCCACCAACTCCACTCTCAACAAGTTCACTGAGGTAAGAGAGCCATCTAGATCCTCCTTTTGTGAATGAGCTTGAAAGGGGAAACCCAAATATTCCTTTTCACACGTTTCACTCTGCCTCCCTTCTTAGGAGCTGAAGAAGTTTGGGGTGAACACACTAGTGAGAGTATGTGAAGCAACTTATGACAAAGCACCAGTGGAGAAGGAGGGCATACAGGTCCTGGTGAGTAAATCTAATTGAAGATTTGAACAACAGTGTTTAGTGGGGAGGAAGGAAAGAAAAGGCGCTCATTTTGCCACACTGAATGACACGGTGCTTTTCTGCAAGATCAGCTGCCCTTGGTTGATAAAAAGGCACTTGTATGCCTATGCTACACTCTTGGGAACTCCCATTGGTAATTCACCGGCATAAAAGGGCAACTAATAGTTTCTTCAGCTGGTCCAAAACTCCCACACTGGCCCCAGGCCATAGTTATTGTTAAGCCCTGTTTATTACTGTTTATTGTGCCTTTTATGCTTACATGTTTAAATGGTAAATATTAGGGGTGACCCCCGAATAGTCGGAAGATTCGATGCTTCGATAGGAGGAGCCTGATTCGACTACCAATCTCACAGTCGAATATTCGCGGGGTGTTATGATCATGCCATTTTGGCTATATGGGGGTGCTCAAATGTCTGATTTCACATAGAACTACCGGTTTTCTCCCAATAAGTTAATATACAGCCTATTAAAATAATGCTGTAAATAAGAATCTGAAAAAAAAGAAGCTTAAAATAAATATTTTAACGTGCGTGAATAAATCCAACCACCCCTATAGATTTAAGTTTCACTTTCCATAATCCGTGATCGACAGAGGAGCATTTTGGCGACAGGGATTTAAAACTTTAAAAACTTTTTTCGATCAGGTAGGGTACAAGTGATTTCAAAACATTTCAGCCGGTTTATATATATTGTGTATACATTATTTATAATGTATACATTTGGTTGAGTTGCGCTGCAGTAAAGCGCTTCATTGTAGTA